GCTAAGAAAATAATGCAACAGCTCCATATCTGACATCTCAAAATTTTGCATCGCACTTGACAAATAATTCTTATATAAATGACAAGATGTGTTAGTATTTTGACAAGTCTATTTAAATGAAAAAACCATTACCCTTTTACATTATCAATCTTGTCATTTTGCATGTTATTCCCTAAAATTTATACGTGAAACTTGTAAAAGTGACAAGTTAGCTAACATGCTGACAAGTCCATATAAAGTAATAAAAAATGGAACTATTGAGCATTATACTCTTGCAAATACTACTACAAAAGACTTCATTACTTGATAGTTATTTTAATCAATACTTAATTGTTTTTAACTATCAGGTAAGGAGGCACCATATATTAGAGGCCCGTTTACTTGACGGTTAAAAGCCATCAAGTATTAAGAATTATACTCGACGGTTATTAAATATTGGAGATTATACTTGATGGTTATTTGATAATAACCATCAAGTATAGTCTTTCAAGTTTAGCTTTTGGAGATTTTTGGAAGACTATACTTAATACTTGATAGTTATTTTATAATAACCGTTAAATATTTATGATAAAAAACTTGTCCAAGCCTAGGGAAATTTGCCAAAAACACTTGATGGTTATTATGAAATAATTTTCAAGTATTTTACAATAATTGGCGGCTATTTTATAATAATCGTCAAGTATTTGTTTACTTAAAGGTTATTTTAAAATAATAATCAAGTATTTATAGCATTTTTTAAAAATAATGAGGGTTGCTTTTCAGGTAACCCCTACAAATACAAAGAAATCAACTATATATATATATATATATATGTATGTATATGTATCAACCACCCAGCAATCAGAAACAAATCAATCATTATTTATATCAAAATTACTATTCAAATATATTAAAATTCATATATCATTCATATACCCTAAACCTGAAATCATAAAAATCTATAATTTTAGCTAATTTGTAAACTAAAATTCCAAAAGTAATGGCCTAATACATAAAAATTGGCTAAAAAAAAGATTGTGTACACCAAAACTAATTATTGGACCTAACCACTATCACTATCCACATGTTGAAGACAACTTGAGCTACCTCTTCAAAGATTTCTATATATACAATTGCATACTGAACATAGTAGACATTCTTGAAGTACTGTATGCAAAGACTTATAACAAATTCAAGTTAATAGCTATCTAGCAAAAGTTAATGGTTACCACATTCTTGTTAGGTAATGTGGTAGGGGCATGAGTGATGATGTCTTTTATGAATCTCATTAGGCAATAACTACAATAATTTCTCTGCTTTGGATGAAGTAGACATTGTAAAAAAAATCATATATCAATAAAATGGTATAACAAGCCATGGTTTCTTGATTAAAAACTTGACCAATTAGGTAAATACCTTAAATGTGACCCATTTCTCACAAGAATGTTATGTCCTCAAGTTAGGGGACAAAGCCTTGTTAGTCATAATGCGATATAATACAACGGCTCTAAAAAGAAGGTAAAAGATAAATGTCAACAATTCTATGTGTGTCTATGTAGGAAAATTAAAATAACAAGAAAAATAACAGTTGATAAAAATTTAACTTATTTATTAAAAAAGTTTTATCATATCTAGCTGGTTGTTTAGTTCTCATTAAGAGGATCAAGATGCTAAATTTTTGAAACAATATGACTAACCACAATAAACACATAGTGCCCCTTAACAAGAAATAACAATTGTTATCAAATAAGTAAATATAAAAAATGTTTACTTGCACCGAAAGCAACTAGAAGTATCATTGTATACTCTCCTATCCTTAAATTGATCCAAAAGTTGCCTTACTTGATTTTTAAAAGCTTCCTTAGTAATTTCATTATGGGCAGAGACATTGTGGAGATTAGCCAATTTGAACCTTGATGAGAGGCCACCAAAAACCATGAATGAGATATAAAGGTGACTTGAGTGAAAAAATAAGCTAGTTGATATGCGTTTACGCCTGCACACACACACATAATTGAAGTAATTAATTGAGCATTATTGAAAAATTACTTCAAGTAAAAGCTTATTAGACTAATGCTGGCCATTTTCATGCTTGAGGATTTTTTTTGGGTTAATTGCTTGAAGATTTCATTTAAAATTTTATTCTAGACGAATTCAAATGAGCCCGTCTATTGTATAGCTCATCATCAAAACTAATGACACCCTCAACCACCACTTAACGAGCCATCCTCGCCTCTATCACATAACTCTTAAGAAAAACACAGTATTTGAGTTACAATAGACATGATATTAGATGTTGCAAAATTGTAGCTGACTCTTTAGTATAGCTCGATGTCTTGCCTTTCAGGTTGCTCTTCTCCCTTGGCTATATAACAGAAAGGTTAGATATGTGTAATTATATTATAAAATTATAAATAATTATTTATACCATACTTTTTTTTTTTTTTGCGGCAATGGATCCTTTGCCAACTTTGGTATTGCTACTGTTATAGTAACCAGGCCACGCAACAAAGCTCCTTATTGCATCTTCCACCAGTGCCAATGGGCACAAAAGAAGCAATGGCGACGTTTTGCCAGAAGGTACCGCCGTGAAGAAGGGAATGAGAGTGAAATATGTCGTACGTGCATGCCATGGGAAGGATGGAGAAGCTGTAGGGGAGCGATTGGGCGGAGTACACAACCCGGCAAGATGGTTAGGGAGGGATGGAAGCTAACTGGGGATTCAACGAAGTGGAGGTACGTGGGGAGAGATGAGCATAGGCATCCGGTATTTCAGGCGGGACCGATCGAGGATCTGCTTGGGGAAGGAGGTGACGTACTTGCAGATGAAGAGGGTAGTGGGTGCGATTTTGACGAGGTTCAGGGTGGTTCCGGCGATGGCGGAAGGAGAAGATCACCAGAGTTGGTCTGGTTCTTGACGTCCAAGATGCAGAGCAGCTTCCCGGTCAATATTCATTCTTTGGCCTGAATGCACAGCATAAAACTGGAATATTTCGTAAAAGTGAAAACTGGAATATTAATTCCATACTCTCTGAAGTTTTCAATAAGTAACATTTCCAATACTGTTACATCTGTAACAAACTCGTACAATCGAGGACATAAGTCGCGAGGACTCCATTCATTTGCAGAACATTATCCAAATTTAATGCATACCTACTCCTCATATATATATATATATATATATATATAAACATGCGAAACAAGAACCAACGAAATGAAGCTTTAGAAAGCAAGTTACAGCCAGAAACTTCTACTAGAATCTGAAAACGAAGAAAACTAGTTTCAAAATCCGCATGAACCGCAAAGAGAAAGCTCGCCAACTTAGAGAGATTACGAATTCATCGCATGTGAAATACGATTTTTATCATGAGACTGTATGATTCTGTAAATTTTCGTTTCGTCTAGAAACTATTTAAATTTGAAAATTATGGAAATGAGATGCAAGAGTTTATATTTTCTTAATTTAAATTATCATTCAAAATAACCCTTCTTTAATTACAATGATGTAAAATAAAATATTTCGACAGCTATATGTAACATAACATTAATACAAAAACTCGTTATTTATAAATTATTTAAAATACAGCTCATTTTCAAACTCATGTGATACGTGAGATTTATACTCCCTGAGTCCCAAATTACCATGGGACAACTTTGAAAAAATATAATTATCTCAAAATATAAAACAATTTGATAAAAATAATATTTCATTAATAATATGCTTTTTCAACAATACTTTTTAAGTAGAAAAAATTAAAATGATTGTATATTTAAAATTATATTAAATAAAGGATGTTTTAAAAATTATATTTTTATTTTAAAAAAATTAGATTATAAATTTTATTTTAAATTGCCTTATAAAAAATCAGTCCCATTTATTTTTTTAGATGAGACGCGAAACCCAATTCCGTCTCTTCCCACGAACACGTTTCCCACATAATATTAATACTATATTAATAATCACTTTTTTTTTTACCAATCAAAGTCACTTTTTTCAAAATAGAAAAAAAAAAGAAAAAAGAAACGGAAAAGACTTAGCGCGTAAGTTAGCCTCCTCGATTTCACAATAACACTGAGATTATAATTTGGATAAATTGGCGCAGCCCAAAAAAACTTGTACTTGATCAAATTTTTAAAAATTTAAAAATATGATCGATTCACATTAATATAAAAAAATTTGTTATTGATATATAAAAATTTTAAAATTTATAAAAAATTTATTATTAATATATAATGATATATTATTAATAAATATAATAAATCAGCTATAATGTAAAATATAATTAAGATTGAACTATTTTTTGGTTTGATAATATAATATGAATTATATCTGCACAATCAGTTATTTATTTGTCAAACAAATTCATTTGAACAAGAAAATAATAATTTAATCTCATAAAATATGACAATATATTTTAATATAACAATGTATTCTAAGTCTGAAGGGCTAATGGTTGTTAAAAAATTTTATGAAATAACAAAAAATACACTTTAATTTAAAAAAGTATAATAAAGTTTTTTTATGATTTTAATTCTGAAATTTACAACTTTAATTTAATAAATGATTAAAGTAATTTAAACATTCACAACTTATTTTTACCATTTTTCTTCAATAAACAAATATAACAAGGTTTGTTTATTCACAATTTTAATTTTGAAATTCACAATTTTGATTCAATAAATAATTAAAATGATTTAGGCATTTGTAACTTTTTTTTGACCATTTTTTTACATTAGCAAAGTATAACAAAAAAAAAATTTCATTCACAATTTTAATTTTAAAATTCACAGGTTGAGTTTAGTAAATGATTAAAGTAATTTAGCTATTCATAAGTTTCTTTCCTCATTTTTTCTGTACTTTTTTAGATTAAAAATTATTTTTATTATTTCATTAAAATTTTTAATAATAATTAGGTGCCTTACAACTTAAAGGTATTCTACAATTATCAAATTATCATTTTCAAGAGGCATTTCTCCGCCGTTCTCCTGTAAATATCATAAAGGATAAGTCTCAATTTGACGCGTCCTTAACGTTCGACGCGTTTTGCCATATCTTAGCGCTCAGCCCGATCTGGATTGGAATATATATCCCCCCACACCACAGGCCTTCCCTTACTAAATTTCTCTCCTCACTTCGGTGCTGCAATTTTGTGAATTTCTTATCGTGTCTACCGTAGAATCCGTGAGTTCCTTCTCTCTGTTTTATCCTTCATGTTTTCCCCCGTGTGCCTTTTACATCCAAATGATTTCTTCGACTTTTTCCTTCATGATTGCTCCGAATTCAGTTGCTTTCTGGTTTGATTGAATGCTGTGCATGTTCTTGCAAAAGCTAAAGTTTTTACTGCTGATTGTCCTCTGAAATCCATTTTGTGGATTTCTGAATTGCGAATGAGAATTTTCTGATATAGAAATCCTGTTCTTTGCGGGATTACTTTTGTTTGAATTCTTGTGCTGATCCATGATTGCTAGGTCAATGTCTTTAGGATCTATATCCCTTAAGATGGGCATATTCAGTGATGTTGAGATGTTTTGACCTCAGATCAGAATGTTTTTATCTGTTAGATCACAATTGTCTTAACTGCGATAATGTTTTTTCACATCCGATCGTCGATTACCCTGACCACAACGACGAAGAATTCATTGTTTTGAGACCATTTTTCATTGATTACTTGGTTTTTTCCGCTTTCCTCTGACGTGGAAATAGCAATTTAGCATCTTTAGCGTAATATGACTTGGATTGTTGAATTCTTATTCCGTGTTTATTTCCGTCTCTACCCCTCTCTTGTACGCATAAATACGATTCCTTTTCTCCATGTATACGATGCCTCGTGTTATGGATCTAAATTCAAGACATTATCTCATGTGGTTATATGTTCTTTTTAATCAGGAATCATCGGCTTTTTGCCTGATAGATGGGAGGTGGAAAGGACAAGCATGATGAATCTGACAAAGGAATTTTTTCACACCTAGCTCATGCAGCTGCTCATGGTACACATGGGTATCCTCCTGGAGCCTACCCTCCACAACCAGGAGCATACCCTCCACATGGGTATCCACCTCAGCAAGGTTATCCCCCAGCGGGGTATCCACCTCAGCAAGGTTATCCCCCAGCGGGGTATCCATCTCAGCAAGGTTACCCACCAGCTGGGTATCCTCCGGCTGGTTATCCTGGTCCATCTGCACCAGGTATGATGTCTTTGTAAAAGTTTTCAGTATCAAATCTTTAATCTACTGATTATTTCAATGATTCGGCAATTAAGTTTCTCTTATGGCTGTAAAACTAGTAAAGTTGTGAAGCTGCCTATACTACAAGTCTATAAGAAGCATTAGTTAGCTGAACTTAATTGAGATGATGGTTTCTTTTCACGCAATAGGCACTTGAGCTTGTACGATTTATACTGCAAAGTATATTGAAACTAGTAAGGCCACACGGTTTCTTAATGACATGATCCCTGATTTTATGCACTGAATTCTGACACAAACGTTCTATTTGTGCTTTGCTTAAAGATTAATTCTTATGTTGTATATGCTAATGCTGACTGCCTTTAATCTGTGGTAATTGTGACTTGTGAATGTCTCGTGACATGTTGGTCCTCAATAGTTAGCATTCTCAACAATTATATCAGATGAAACATTCTCCGCTTTATTTTCATCTTGCTTGTGCTAATTTATGTGACTGAAATGTTTTTTCGCCCCCAAATCTCTACTTTCTGCCCATATATTGTTGGAATCAGCTAAATGTTTTGCAACATCATCAGGTCATAGTCATGGTCATGGCATGGGAGCTATGCTTGCTGGGGGTGCTGCACTTGCAGGTGCTGCATACGGTGCTCACCATATTTCACATGGCGGTCACCTTGCACATGGTGGTCACATGGGTCACATGGGTCACATGGGTCATGGTAAATTCAAGCACCATGGCAAGTTCAAGCATGGAAAGTTTGGAAAACATGGGAAACACGGCAAGCATGGTGGATTTGGGTTCAAGAAGTGGAAGTGATCTCATGTCTCTCAGACATTTTCTCCAGTACTACTGCCTTCGATTTTATAAATAAGCCATACTTTTAAGTCGGCCTATTTCTTGGCTCGGCCCCCCCTTTTTTGCTTTTTTGGGATTTGATAGCCTTGGCTATATATAAATATATGACCCATGTGTTCTAGCCTAGATTCTGGAATCTGAACAGCATGAATCATAGATTTGTAAGTCTGGATTCTTTTCTGCAGCGAAAAACATACTAAAGCCAAGGCTTTTTTTTTTTTTTTGCTTTGTTATTTATCAGAACAGCAAGGGATTGTGATTTCTGATATTCATTTGTTGAAGTTGGTGTTTTCAGCCCATCTTTAGCCTCGAAAAGTAAAGAAGAATGTTTATTACAAACCACAAGCTGCGCGTCTTTGTTATTACCAAAAAAAATAAAAATAAAATAAAAACTCAAAACTTTCACAGAACATTTGATATCTATATTAAATTAAATCATTCACACTCATGCGGGTTTATATATATTTTTATATAAACTTAATCTTATTTATTTTATTTAACTTGATACATATCTTTAAGTATTAAATTAAACTATCAGGCATTTCTGTTTTATTTCAATTTTATAACTACGTGATAATAGGGTATGGTGATATAATATTGGGGAGTACTTAACTTAGATGTGAGGGAACAGGATCAAGAGCGTACGGAGGTAGTAGTAAATATGAAAATCATGGAAGGAAATTTAGGTTTAATTAGATTTTAGAATGTTATACAGTCAAGTTATTATCTATTAACGTAATTCAGCATAGATTTAAAGGCCGACAAGCGTCAACCTAAACAAAAACATTAATCAGTAAGTAGAAACCATAATTTAAACCTTTCAAGGGAAAGTGTTTCTGCGAGATAGATTCATCGAAGTATCCCTTTTCTTCGTTTTGTATAGGGTCCAACAGTTTGAGCAGCAAAAAATTATCTTCGTCTTTGCATTGCAACCGAATCAATATTTGGATACTCTAAAACCTCTTAATGTGTCAACTTGAAAGGGGGCAATATACAATGTGTGTGATCTTACTTTTCACACAACAAACGAAAATGACTAATCAAGATCTCATATAACATATTTATGCTGATGCCTACCTGTCGCAGAAAGGCCGATACCATCTAGCAGCATAAGAGGGCTTGTAAAGAATAATGAACATCAACCTTGCAATATAGAGCCGTGATCAATATAGTCAATAATTATCCCAAGCCAACATCGATAAGACTATAAGCCACGGTCTTTCTTAATCCTTGGTCTTGAATAGTTTGCCTCAATTCTGTAGCATCCTTCCAGCTTCCTGCAGCAACATACATATTTGACAATGAAATGTAATATCCAATATTTTGAGGATCCATTTCAAACAGAATTTCGGAAACTTTCCTCCCCAACTTGAGTTCTCCATGATAGTTGCAAGCACTTAAGAGGGTTCCCCACAAACCTGCACTTGAATTGGAGGGTAATTTTTTAATGAACTCATAAGCCTCATCAAGCCTACCAGATCGACCTAGCATGTCAACTACATAAACTTGATGCTCAGTCTCAGGCTGTACTTCATATTTCTCCAACATACAGTTGTAGTACCCAAGACCTTCATTCACGAGTCTTGAATGGCTGCAAGCTGATAAAAGGCTAATAAAAGTACTTTTGGTCACCGTAATACTGGACTCGCACATTTCATGAAACAGATTGATTGCTTTCTCACCATTTCCATGATACCCATATGCAGAAATCATTGAATTCCAAGCTGCTTCAGACTTCTCCTCTGCATGTGTAAATACTTGAAGAGCAAGGTCCAATCTACCTCCATTGCTATACATATCAACAAGAGCTGCAGATATGAACGAGTTATCCTGAAAACCAGACCTGATTATGCGGGCATGAACTTGTTTGCCATGTCTTAATACTCCCATTTGAGTACAAGCTGTGAGAACACTAACAACAGTCATCTCATTAGGTTGAAACGGAAGATGATGAAATAGTTCCAATGCATCTCTACTTTCTTTGTTATGTGATAGTGCTGAGATCATGCAATTCCACGAACATAGGTTGGGAAAATAACAAGATTCAAACACTGATCTGGCACTTTTGATGTCCCTGCATCTTCCATACATGGTAATTAATGAATTCTGAACCCGGGCATCTGATCCCAAGGGAGATTTAAGGACAAGCCCGTGCAGACACCTTCCTTTCTTGAGTAGCTCAAGATTTGCACAGGCTGACAAGACATTCACGAAGGTTATAGAATCATAGTTGACAAAGGCTTTTTGTCTCATTAAACTAAAAGTTTCAAGAGCCTGTTGATAGTGGTTGCGCTTCACACATCCCACAATTAAAGTGTTCCATGAAGCTGTAACTGCCAAAACTGAATTCTCTTGAAAAATTAAGAAAGCGGCTGTCAGGTCTCCACAATTGATGTACATGTGCATGAGGGAGTTAATTAAAAGAATGTGGTTTAAAAACCCTGATTTTAACTGCCAGCAGTGAACAGAGTTTCCAAAGTATAAACTATTAGTGGAATTACAAGATGAAAGAACAGCAAAAACAGTTGATAAACTGCAGTTGGGGAAGCAATGGAGGAGCTCCCTGAACAAACTTTGGGCTTCTTGAGAATAACCATTAAGGGAATACCCAGATATCATTGCATTCCAAGAAACCAAGTCTCTCTCTCCGGCAGAATTAAACAAGAGCTCAGCTTTCTCTACAAGTTTGCATTTTGAATACATGTCTATCAAGCTGTTTAGCAGAGCGAGGTCAGATATCATCTGTCTTCGTAGTGCAAATCCATGGACAGTTCTTCCTTGTCTGGAGAGCATCACTATCCCACAAACTTTTAGAATGGTAGTCAATGTTACTGCATCAGGTCGAACTGATCCATTAGCTTGCATTTCAAGCAGAAGATCGAACACTTCATTAACACCTCCATTTGAGGCATGTCCTTCCATCATTGCATTCCACGAAACAATATCTTTGCATGCCATTTCTCTAAATACAATTTCTGCCGCTTCAATATCTCCACATTGTATATATAATGAAAGGAGAGAATTGGGGACCGAAGCATGCAAGCTATCCAGGTATCCTAGCTTGAGTCCAAGCCCGTGAATTGACTGACCAAAATCCAGCTCTCCTAAAGCAGAAGACGCTGATATAGTGCAAGACAAACTGATGGTGTCCGCTTCTTCTCCGGAGAAAACCATATCCCTGAAGTAATATAGAGATTTCTTTGGATCACCATCACGAAGACTTCCTCTAATCATTGAATTCCAAGATACTACATCTTTATACGTTATTTCTGAAAAAAGATACTCAGAGGATTTTAAAACGCCACATTTTGCGTACATATTAGTAAGAACATTACTTAAACTTGTATCCACAAGCATCCCAGCTTTTATACTCAAACAGTGAACTGCCCGTCCTTGCTCAAGATTATTCATGTATGATGAAGCAGATACCAGAAGCAATAAAGTAGTGGAATCAAACCCACTTTGGTCTTTAATCATGTTTCCAAAAAAGTCCATCGCTGTCTTGTAGAGTTTGTTTTCAACAGATGCGGCAATAATAGCATTCCAAGCAATCACATCTCTGCAGTGAATTCCATCAAACAAATCCCTTGAAGAGCTGAAATCTCCAGCCTTAGAATAAATAGTAAGTAGAGTTGTCATAGTGGTCAGGTGAGCTAGAGCACCCGTCTTTAAGGCCACACAATGAGCAGCAGAAGCTGTCACAGGCTTGGGCCATTTGCCAGACGACTTAATGAGATCATTTATTACTCTCTCTAGCATTTCATCAAACGGTTGAATGGCACTCGAAAAATGACGGGAAGGGCGTAACGACGAAAGAGCACATGGCGGAACACCACCCATATGTTTCTGAACGACCTTAAAGTTTCCATTTTGGTTGTTTTGGAGAGAAAAAGGATGTGGCGATGTAAATCTTCCTGATGGAAGCAAGGCTAGATTTTGTGATTTCAACCTTGTAATGCGTACAAGGAAATGACTTGATGGTGATTTTAGCACGAATTGCTGAACTGCCCTGCTCTCATTTTTGCTTCATGTCATAGCTATCCACGTCGAATTGTGTCTTCCATTGCAAAACATAAATTTTGAAGACCTTCCGATTCTCATGAATATGCATTGAAAGCAGTAGAGACTGAGAAGTTGAAATGGTTCCAAACCTCCAACGTGAAAACACCGTCGAAGTAATTCAGTTCGCAGAGCTTCTTCGTAAGAATGGAGATGCGAGACGAACTTTTATCGTCAGAAGGAAACCTAAAAATGGCATTATCCCTTAGGGAGGAGGATCCGTGTCGCACAAACCAGTCTTTCCTTTTGTCCCCTCGATTGGATTCATTCCTCCTCCTAATTTAATTTTAATCATTTATTATAGGAAATAATGGAGAGAAACCAAATTCTTGCTAACTTTGAATAAAAATGGACCCCTGCGTGGGATCTTGCTATTGATAAATTAAACATAAAGATTAAATAATCTAATATAATTATTTAAATTTCAGGACGAATTGAACTATTGGTCAAAAAAATTCTTATTCCCATCATTGCATTAATAAAGACTAAAAATCAAGTTTAAGTCAAATTAATCACTTTGACTTATCGTTTTTATGTAAATTATAAGTAAGAAGGCAATAGAAACTAGAATGAACAATGCAGTAGTAATAAATGCAAGAATATTTACTTCCATAATCTCATCATTAGATTTATTTTTAATTCACAATAACTCAGGATTTAATTTCATAGAGATGATAAATTTTTTATCGGTAAATTCATTAATATAAATTATATCTCGCTGATATTGAATTGGATTAATATTATGAATAACAATATCTAAACTATCAAATTGATTCATCATCAAGAATTGAATAATATAATATAGAAAGATCTTTTATCCATACCAAATTCAAAAATGGATTAAAATAAACTTCTAATCCAATCAAAAATTTTTTCTTTTTTTTTTAATATTCTCATTCTTCAATTAGTGATAGGATAAACATATATTAAAAGTGAAGTATGAAATTTGAATGAGATACAATGTTTAAAATACAAATAATTAGGAATTAAAATTGGTACTTAGTACTTGAGGTTATAAAAAATCGGAGTCAAAAAAGGATGAATTTTGAATCCTAAAGTGTTCTATCAAAATCAAAGGAACTCCTTTGGTCATAAAAATTCAAGATCTAATAAATTGAATAATTTAAAATAACTCTTCAAATTAATTAATTTGTAGCTCCTGAATATTCAACTAATTAATTAATTTTTTATAACGTACTTCATTTTTCTTTGATAAAAAAGACACAAGTCATTTTCTTTTTTTTAGAATTTTCTGTTCACTCCTTTGAAATAAATAGTCTTTTCTATACAATTTTAAATGGAAAATAAGTTTTCATATTTTATTGGTGAAATTGAACACTTGAAATTCAATCGATCCTAGGTTTTCTTCTTTTTTTATGAACTAAATTTTTAAAAATTTGAGAATATAATATATTCACATTTATATACAAAAAATTTATCATTAATATATAAAAAATTTATCATTAAAAATTTAAAAATTTACAATAAATTTATCATTTATATATAACAATATGTCATTGACAAATATACTAAATCAATTATAATGCAAAATATAATAAATATTAAGATTGTTTGCTTAGTTTAATCTTATAACATTAACTATATCTATAAAAACACTTAAATTTTATCATGTGATTACTTTTTTTTCTTTGGTTTTAAAAGTTTCATATTTCTAATACAAGTATATGGAAAGAAAAAAAAAACGTAAGTAGATATTTAAATATAGTATAAAATTTTTAACAAAATGTGCTAGCAATAAACCATAAATAGTATGATTAATTCTCACACAATGTTATATTTGTGCTTCCAATCATAAGACCTTTTTCTATAGTCTTTAGTATAATCTTCAGAATTTTTTGATCCTGAATTGAAGTCAAATTCATGTTTTAGTCTTACACTATCACTCTTCCTTAAAATTAAAAACACGACCACTTGAACTGCCACTCATAACTAGAAAAAGCATGTACAATTGTGTGCGTTTTAAAATAAAACTAATATATGTCGCATTCATGATTTATTAATAATAAAAAATTTTTATAAATTTTAATTATATATTGATATTGATAATGCGTATACAAACAAGATAAAACCAAAAAAAAAAAGGAAAATATTATAAAGTGTTTTTTTTTTTAAACCTTCCATCGTAGAGTTCTATTCTCCTAATTTACAAATGCGAACCTAGTCAAAAAATTTTACTAGTGCTAAACAATAATCATATTGTCTCGTCTTTACAGTAACCTAAATCCTCCATATTGATACAGATTCTCCACTTATTTAAGCACATCTTGACTGCCAGTTAAGTGAAAAATAAAATGAAGATTAAAGAAAAAGGAAAAACTAAACCATCTTACTTAAAATCTCTCACAGTATCCCATCCATTAGGGTGGTTTAACAAATATTGACCTAGAGTCAGAACTCACCAAGGTGGATGATCATCCTCAGAAGTTGGAGGAGGGATTGGTTTCCACCCAGGTTTCTCGTCCCAGTACATATCATAATATATGTGACCAGGAATGTGATCGAGCACACAGCACCATATGCCCACATATCGCTTTACACGTCTTCTGAATCTCTCCTCCCTTTCCTGTAAGGTAATTTTTGGGATGGCTTCAACACATTATTAGTGAATTCTTTTCCTCTCGTCCCCAACGTTTTACTCGGAGAGAGAAGGAAAAATCGAAATTAGATTCTTTGCAGCAGTTCTGTAGGACAACAACGTAGTGACTGACACAAAGGAGTAAAAGTTTATAAGGCCCGTTTCTTTTAGCACACTCATTTCATTTTCTTCTTTTTTTTCCCCTCTTTCTTACAACACTATATCCAGCACAAAGAATTTTCACTAAGAACAAAATAGCCTAACCTTATCAGCAAAACCAGTGAAAGCATTTTGCATCGAGGAGAACTGGATAACTTTGACATCTTTGAATGACGAGAATACTTTGATGAACTGCAAATTCAAGTGGAAACAGACATGTTCCTTGGCTCTTTTCGTAAAAAGAAGAGTATCTTTTTGAAAGAAAGTGCATGAGACTATATTCAACCCCAAAAGAAAAACAATTTTATCAAATGCATTCTAATTTGTGGATAAATTAGTAGACTCAGAGACCAGTCTCTGAATGTAGATAGATACAAATGCATTCTTACTTGCAGAACTGGTCCAATACGCTAATATCACTTCTAGGTTCTGCCACAAGAATGTTGTAAAAAGGAAATTATGGTTGGCCCGTTAACTAGCCGAAACAAGCATAATTTGACCCGAACAATTTTTTTAATCACAGTTGTCTACGTGAGCCTTGAAACTAATGCTCTAATGCAGAGACTTAATTAAATAAATGTATCTCACAGTGACAGGACTGATCGACCATGCAGAGTTAATTGTATCAATGTAAGTTGAAAGCTTATTTTCGAAGAATTCAGGCAAAAATATGCACTTGAAATACCGTTTCTTCATCGCTATGCCTTGGAAATCTAAGTACTCCCCCAACAGCAGAATCATTTGATGCATTACAATCATGTATTCCTTCTTCACAGAGATGAACATCAAGCCAAGACTTCTTTACCTGAATTTCAGAACCAGGCAAGCAGATTTCCTTTAAGCAACTTACACCGGGAAAAGAGACCCTGATTCAGAAATTAGATGTAATTGGACACAATTCACCTCTTCGGGCAGAGAGGGATTTTCAAGTATTGAGTACTCTCTGATATTTATTCCAGGGCCAAACTCTTCCTCTGGAAGTTCTTTCAACATGGCATTCACCTGCAATGGTGGTGCATTTCCTTAGCAGTACAAGGCAGTAGCTGAGAAAATGCACTAGTAATGTGGAGAAAACAGCTGTGCATAGGAAAAAAAGGGAAAACAGTGGTCAATGTGTGAAATTGTTGAGTTTGTGGCATCCTTTGCTCAGCACCCTACTCAAATGGCTGTCTTGAATTAATTTGTTATACCAAACTCAAAAAAGGCACCAAGAAAAAAAAAGGAATTATTTCAAAATTGGTCAAAACACAATATATGAAACCATATAAAATAATTCAAAACACATATATGCTCTTCCTTATTCAAGTACACTGTCTAAGCAACAAGTTGACAAATAAGTCGAACACCTAAATTACTCATCTATTGGAAATGTTTTAGACTTTGTTGTGTTTATTGTTATTCAAACACCACAAATTAAAACGTTTTCACAAACTAAAGTGGAATTCAATCAAAATATTCTGTCTTGTAACTTATATTTTACTAGATGTCAGCTTGACCCTGTTTTCATCACATGTTTCTATTATTACTACAGCTACAACCTACAATTGTGATAACAGACTTCCAATCACATATACGAGCTTATTCAAATCTTTATCAACTCTAAATTGATTTTCTAATGTTTATTATATTTTTACAACAACTAACAACACATGAACGTGCCTATATATGAACTTAATTAAATTTCTGTCTCAAATTCACTTTATCAACCCCATAACATGGATTTCTCTTCTTATTTATGAAGAATTCTCCTGAATTTTTAAGGCGGGGACCAATTATCCCCAACAGAGTTGAGGCACCATTATGAAAAGCATCAATCCTTAGGCTATAATTTCAACAGCTAAAGTGTAGCATTACCAATGTCTTAGACGGAGCTATCTAACATGGTCCAGATGCTGCACTAAAATTGTTCTTAAAAGTGCTAATAATGGTTACTTAAACATCAATAAGATGAGTTGTTTAATTCGCCACATTACCAAAAGCATATGTGAAGAATGACATTCAAAAGGAGTCACTTTAAAAAGCAGGAAATACCTCAAATACATGATCCAAAGGGCAAAGAAAGGGTTGCCTAGTCATAGTTCCCTCCAAAACACCAGGATGTGGAAACCATAGCCTATCTAACCTGCACCATAGCGGAGGCATGACCTAAACATACACAAAAATAATCCAGCTTAAAATGTAGTTATAAATATAAAAAGTGAACATGCACTAGGAAAGCCATCACACATGATAACGCAGTTTTTCTTTACATCCTTATTAATTGGAAAGCAATTACATCAATAAAAGTAGGAAATGAAGAGCTTTCTAACCAGTTAGAAATTTCACTTATACTTCACTAATGCAGGTGAAAAGAATGTGCATTCTGTTTTCAACTATAGCAAAGGGAAATGCAATAAAATCTAGATTAACAGTTTTAGAACTCTATACAGAAGATTTTAATACTTGGCTCATTAATTGATAAGGGCATAAGGATCTAGAATAGTGATGAAAGTGACACAAACAGTATATTTCTGCACTTCACAGGAATAACAGTAAAAACTAGCTAAGCAAAAACTGCTTATGATGACAATTACAATATGTGATATGATCTTGTGATTTTAATAAGTAGCACAAAACAAATCTAGTCATAGAAGCCCACAATCAATTATCGTCTGTCACTTCAATAACTGTGCAATATAAAACCCTTAAGCTTATACTGACAAATAAATTTCGTGTACTGCAAAAGTGCCAGGATTAATATGGATCATTGAAATTTTTAAGTCATGTGAAAGCGACTCCTCTACCTTCAAACTCGACAATGAACCCCAAACTCTATGTAGATAAACCTACAGTTAGTGAATCCATTAATTCACTAAAGGGTATGTGTTTGTTAAATTTTTGCACGACTAATCCAAGAGTCTTGTTCATATAACCCCTTAATATGTCATGTTTGGATTGTGAAACAAAAGGACACATTAATGGCAAAGGTTTTTTTTTTTTTTTGGATGAAAATGGCAGGGGGTTACTAACATAGAATCTCAAGTTTTGGGAGTCCATTGTCAATTCTTGGAAGTCAAGTCCATACAGGTTCTATACAGAATGTCATATGAGTTGTATAAGGTCAGGTTTCCAATCTCAGTCAAGATTTTTGGGCACAATCAGGACCTCTAGATGGGGGCGTGCTGGTAAAAATTATTAACGCCCCAAAAATAATAGTCTTCATGTAAAACCTTATAAAATTACATTTTGTTCCCAAGAAAATAAGGCTTTCACTTAATTCCCTAGATTTTAAAAAAAGAAGAAGGAGAAGAAGGATATAGATGACCTTGTCATTCAAAACTGGCCAACATTATTGGCCTAGTGCCCAGCACTCCCCAATCTAATCATTTTTTTCTTAGCCCAATCAAGCTCAATGTTGCATTCTATTTTAAGGTACAACAATAACAAAACTTATCTCATTAAATTGGGTCGGCTATGAAAATTGCACAATGTAAAAGAAAATTTGAAAAACAAAAAGTTTATTCCTATCTCATATATTAGGAGTGATTGATTAGTTCACAGAACTCAACAAATTTTAAGATAATGATAGCCAATAGTGTTAACATGAGAAATTTTGTACTTTAAGTTTTGCAATTATAATGCTGGAAAACAGTACTCACCAGAGTTCTTCTCAGAAGAGAAGCAATAGCAAGTGCTGTCCTTATCAGTTTTATCTGGACAAACCCATGCACAACATAATCAACAAGATGCAATATAATTTTCATTCCAATGCTGAAGTGAAGAGGATCAGGTCAATACATGCATACTTGATAATTGATCAGAGAAAAATGTGAATCAATGGTATGCTTCCCACTTAGTAACAAGCTCCTAGGAATAGATGGCTTAAACGACAAGAAACCCCCTGCAAGAGTTACTAAGTAAGCTTGCAATGCTATTATGCATAGGAGTCACCAAAGAAGACATAACCAGATACAACAACCAGATTAAAGTGTCAATTTTCAGTCATCAGTGTCAAAGAAGAAAGCAAGCTTCAACAACAGAAGGAATAGAAAAACCTCAATACATGATAAGGATTGCTACAAGAAAGAGTGAAATGAGTGTATTGTTACTTGCAAGTAATTTTTTCTTAAAATAAAAAATGAATAGCCTGAACCTAAATTGAGGAAGAAATCAGAAATTATTACCAGGTGGATTATAGTATTCTGGTGGGTCATAGAAAAGCATTGCCTCTCGAAGCCGATGGCGCTTTCCTTCAGTTCCTCCATATTGAAATGTTGTGTGCACAGCATATGGCTCTAGTCTGAGTTGCTGATGCATAGCCTGTATAATATACAAATATATTCCTAGGGAGAACGGATACAAGATTTAACGTTCCTACATTATAGATTTACAAAAAAGATTCCTCCAATTGCATAGAAGAAAGCTAAAGGCATAGTGCGTACAAACCACAAAAAGAAAAGGAAACCAAACTGTTAAAAGCTATTAAATAGGTCGTACCTACCTGCACAAAATATGCATGCCCACTACAAAATATACTTGCAGGCAAAATTCCCAACTTCAGATTTCCATCAAAAGCATAAACAAGTCTAATGGCCTCATCAACAGACGGTCCTAACTGTCTGTGTAGAATGTCATTAAAACCATTCTGATCCCATATCTTGTCATTATCTAGAAGCATTTCTTTCCATTCCTTTGCCAATTTTTTTGCAGACTCTGTAGGCCTCCAACGAAATATTCCTATGTTGTAGGCAGCATTAACTATTCATGATGTAGCACAATGTCATCAGTAAGGTAAATGTCTATTTGAGAATAATTCAATAAGTGCTATGTCTGACAACAAAATGAAGAGAGGAGCAATATGTAAAATTTAAAAATAAATGTAAAAGGCTTCAATGTGTCTCCTCCTTCCAATTTATAGGCAAAGCAGTATAGTAAGAAGGCATTCTAAAGTGAAATGGGGTATCTAATAATTCAACTAATATCAATTGACATAGAAGATCACACTACCATTCAACAGGTCACAGATCTAAGTCCAAAGATGTCATTTGACTGAAAAGTGATCAATTGAGAGGTTTGTGGTATTCATAAGATGTGGCTTGCCTTTAAAATTAAAAAAGAAAAGAAAAGAAAGAGTTTAATATGAGAACTAACGCAAGAAACATTGAAGAGATATATCAGTAAGTTCTGCTCATGGCATAATCATCACCTTCTTGCCAAATTTCCAGACTATCATCAATAACTGTTGGTATGACTTGATCACTTGACGTTAGAAGATCTGCGTCTGCATAACGAGCAATATATGGAAGTGGATTCTGTCCAAGAACCATGTAATGCAATGTATGTATTAGAAATAACACAACAATCACATAACGGGTTTAGAGAGATAAAAGAAGATGAGCTGAAACATGATAATTTATGAAGAAAATGACATAAGAACTCATAACCACGTCGCAAGATAATGTGAAGAAGCAAGGTAAAAAAGATATGACGCTTTAAATGATTAAGAATTGAAGCAGATGTTTTAACAATCAAGAAAAAAATTAAAAAGTTATCTCTGATAATTTTATCTTACGTGGTTGATGGAAAAAAAAAAGAAACTAAGAAAGCATTTACGCTTCTTGAGTATCACTATAAGAAACTATGCAACCATAATAATCACACTCATGCAATTTCACTTATGAGAAAACAAAAATTTAGAAATGGAAAAGCACACCTTCAACCAAACCATGTCAGTATCACACATCAGCAGCTCAAAACCATAAGGCAGTATTGAGTTTATCAGAGTAACTTTTTCTCTCCCCATTTTGTGAAATGTTGGAGACCCCCAACCAACATCTTCTGTACTCACACGGCTGCCCATGTCAAAGACAGGTACCCCTTTCCAATATAATGCCTGCAATAATTTGGCGTCCATTGCACCTAAAAGGGTAGATTTCAAAGTTATTATGTCAATTCTAGTCAACTGTACAGGAAAAATAGTAGCAAATGAATATAACATTGAACAGGACAAATGACAGAAAAGATTACGCTCACCAACAAGAAAATTAGAAAGTCCAAGATCCGCCAAGTGTTTAACCCAAGTCAGAATAAAATCCATGAATGCATAGTTGCCAAAGGTCACAATTACAATATTATCTTTCACCCGTTGTTGAACCAATTCTTTCGTTAATTGGAAAGCCTCCAAAGGAGGCATATTCTTATTGTGTGCTGGAACTTCCCATACAGGTTTAATCCATACACCTTGAGGACCTAGGGCATGTGTGGGCATAGCATGCCCTTCATCTGCCAGAGAAAAGTTGATTGTTTGATCTGTAAGACAAAATCTTCATCAGGAAAAGTTCAGTTAAGCTCTAAAATCAAACTTGCAGATGAAGGGAGCAAGACTACTTCTTGGTGAATTGAAAAGTATCTTGCCCAAGGCGCGGTTAACATAAACTGAGGAAGGTAACTAACAAAATATACATGTATATATATATATATATTCAAAATTCTACTAGTAAGGAAGGAGCACTCAATAATAATTCAATCACGCACTTACACTTAGAGAAACAGAGCCTAATTGAAAGACTGACGAACGACAAAAACATGCTACCGCAATTTATTATAAACAGAACAAAGGTCAGTCCAGAAATCAGACATAATTAGTTGGTTCTCTTCCTCTCTGTCTAGTTATCTTCAAATCCTCCCGTTCTGCACTATCGAGAAGGTTTGTCACATCGCAAAAAACAAAAGGAAAATGCTTGCAATTCCAACTTTCCATGTCCAACGACAAGTAGGTAAACATTTCGAGAAGAACTAGATAATCGATTGCCCATAAATTGATATACCTTCAATTTAATGGTTTAGTTAATGCTTAATGGCTCAAACACCCTTGAACACTCCTTGCATTCCCCACCCCGGCATTTAAATACGTCACAACAATGGTAAGATTAAGAAACAATACAAGAGAGAGAGTAGGAAAGGAGCTTAAGTTCAACGTGGAAGGAAAACATCAATGGCATGGTTTCCCGACAAGGAAGAAGGAGAAAAACTACACGCAAATTATTAATAAAGCGCTAGCATTTCATGTTTCACCTAAAGGGGGCGGCATAAATGTCGTGCAAATCAATGACTAATGTTTAATGTCATTACCAAAATCCTTCCAGCAGAAAAATATGGTAAATTGTTCTCAACGCACCGTTCAAATAAGCTATACCTTCATGACTACATTGTCACAAAAAGAGAACTCGGAAGAAATATGCAGTTAATGCATATATTAAGTGAAAAGCGCAAAGCTGGGAAGTTGAAGACATACGCGAAACTGAAGGTAAGGAAGAAGGAGAAGAGAACCAGCCAGAAGAATCAACAGTGGGCTTGCTTGAGTATATGGCAGAGAAGACATAAAAGAATGAAACCACGACGCCAATTATCACAATAGTGTAGACCGTCAAGAACAGAGGCTTCGAAGGAGTTAAGTCCTCGCACACACCTCTGCAGGCCATCTGATTCCACTTGATTTTCCTCTCTGTCTTTCCTTTTCTATCAACATTACATTCAGGAATTAGAGAAGAACGACCAACTCCGAGTTCTGCATCGTCACTACAATCACCGTCTTACTTCTAAACGCCAAAGAAAACGAACATGACAGTGACAAAGAAGAGAATTGGGGAAGAAAAAATAAAGATACAAATCCCTGTTGAGCAGAGATACCAGAATTTGGAATTGATATTATCAAGGGGGGTGGGGGACAAGAAGAATTTGGAGTCGATCACCATTTCATAGCATGAAGCAGGAGGACGATGGGTAAAGAAATTTATAAATTTGTTAAACTTTTATCAGTGCATAAAAGTTGTTGAAATTAACAAAAATAATAGTTTTCCTTTTCTTTACGGGAATAAAAAATAATTAGAAAATGCTCCCTGCAATGTACGGGATTTAAAAAATTTCATTTATTTTTTTTTTTCCTGAACATCACGTTGGTGTGTATATATTTTCATGAGAAATTTTGATTTAATAGAATGTGACTTTTATATTGTATTTAATACTCCTCTGCTAGAAAAAAAGTTTTTTAAGGGTTGAATATTAAAAATAGTAAGATATTTTTAATCTTTTAAAATATAATTATTACTTTTTTTCAGTATCACTATTGAATAAATTATTTTATATTTATTTTATGATAAAACATATTATTAAATAGGGGTAAATATGAAAAGATAAGGTTAATTAAAGATAAGTAATTACTTTATTGGGGGTAAAATTTGTAACATTTCAAATTTTAATTATTAGATTATTAAAAAAATTAATCAAGTTTAATTATGATAATTGAGTGAATTGATGTCATGTTTGATCAAAGAGATCTAATAAATATATTCAGTTGTGATTTCAGCCCTAATTATATATTCAAAATGAAGTCGGGCCACCTGAGTATCGAAAGAAGAGGAAAAACATGAAGGATTGTCTCTTCGCCATGCAACACGACCTTCGCAATGCATAGACGACAAAAGGATAGAAAGACCTCTCTACGTCATACATCGCGGCTTGTGCTGAATGCGCCACAACGCATGGTCCCTTTTATGGAGAATTTAATCACAAATTGAGATAGAAACAAAGAGAAGAAACAAAGAAACTAAAGAGGACGCCCTTTTGCTCTGCTATGGTTTTCTACATTGATAGTTTGGGAGTATTTTAGTGCTAAAAAACACTTAAGATCACTGTCTTACACTATAATCTTTCTTTCTCTTCTATTGTTATGAGGTTTTTTGTCAGAGTTTGATAATGAGAAATGATTTTTGATTCATATAAATTATATGTTCGAACCCATTGACTTAATGAAGTTAATGAGAGTTATTTAAAGTATTTAAATATAGTATTAATGGTTTTAAAAGTTGTTGGCTGGTAAATGCCATAATTATCTAAAAATGACATTAATGAGGATTGTTGGAGGAGTTGTAATGCTATTAATGAAGGTTTAATAACTCATTAATAATACTGAGAGCTGAAGAGAGTTAATAAATCTATTGGATAAGCCTAAAGATGAGAATTAAGGATATTAAGTATTTTAGAAGTGAAAATTTGAGAGAAAAAATATGTTTCTGACAATATTGATGAGTTTGGATTTAATTAATCATAAATTTATTGTTCGGACACCATATTTGGCTTGCAAATCAAGCCTGACAGCTAATTATTGAGGGGTAAATATTTGACTTCTTAAAAGTTTGAGGTAACTGAAGAAATCTTACTTTTGGTAGTTGTTTATTAATTGTACGTTAATGTAAAAATGAGTTTGCGTACGTGAATGATTGAATGTATTGATACAATAACATGTTATGAAACATGAGATAGTATATTTATTTGATTTGAACTAAAGATGTGAAAATGAATTTGAAATGAATTTTAATTTACAATATTGTATTGGGATCAAGATAATTGTGTTGAGATTGATTCACTTGGGTAGCATATTATTGTGAGCTCAATCTACTAATAATGAATAAATAAAATTGTGAAAATAAGTAGGCATCACATATAGCATGATTAGTTAGCGACAATTCGCCTAAGGAGAAGAGTAGTTAAAATTCATAGTTTGTCCCGTAGTTTAACGTAGGACTATAACTTAGCTATTTCCACCAATTTATCGAGAATATTAACTTAGGGTATATGACACCCAAAGATTTAAGAGTGGAGAAAGTTGTGATCTGAGAGTAAGTCTCATGATCTTTGACTGGATCATACTTCACAATTGTTGAGTTTAGATAATTCAATCACACGAACGAAGCCCTATTTAATAATATAGCCCATGGTTTTAGTTAGAAGAAACAAGAAGGGTATAAGGATGGTTGATCATGCACATGTGATTATATGATACGTCACATTGTTGTTTAAGTTTGTAACAAGTCGTGATAATAAATTAGGTAATTGTCTCATGTCTATGTGTCATGTGACAATATACTATGTGGTTGCGATAAGAATGAGAAAAGAATTATGAGAAATGACAATTTGTGTTACACGTGCTAATGTGTATATTTTGAGAAAATCAACTCTATTTTGTGTATTTATTCAATTGATATACAATTGTATAGAGTATGTATACCTTGATTATGAAGTGGCTAAACTCACTCTTCTATTTTAACATTTTACATGCTCTATCTCTATTGTAGAAAAGGAAAAGGCTCCACAAGTTTAGGAGTCTAAGTATTCCTATTGTGATACCTCTTTAAATCATTTATTTGGTGTAATAGTTTAAATATTATCAATTAGGATGTATTTTATTTACACTTGCACTATATTATTGTTTATGATGTCTGAAATGTATTTTGAATTTTGAGATGTGATTTATAATAAATTATAAGTGTTGATAGGACCAAAATACTAATGTAACTATAGTGAGGTTGTTTTTAAACTTGCTATTGATGATTTTTGAGAAAATGCAATGCTAATAACCTCCCCTTTATGTTTTTAGTATTGAATATAATCTAATGAATATATGTACATGTGCTGTGTTGCATTGTTAATCCCAGATCTAACGAATATGACCTGGGTGTTAGAAATAACTTGTATAGGGTTTTGGATATTCTTTTATTTAGAAAGTTAACAAAAATTGTAAAAATATATTTGGGCGTCCAACATCTTAGTGTGACTTCATTTGGAAGTAAAACCCATGTCATTAGTTAATTTATGTTATAAGCTTTCTGTAAACACCTAAATCATCTCATTCGAATGTCGGATGGATAAATGGGACAGGCCAGAAGTTGCTCGACTTTGTTGTCAATGACAGCAGAATTGCTGTTATGAGCATGCAATACTTCGTGGCACATGACACTTGCCCTGTAGCGCGTGGCACAAGCCACAATACACTGCTCTATTTTAGGAACCTTGAGATTTTTTTCAACTCCTTTTATTCCTTTAAGGTATACCATACTTCCGTAATAATATTTTACTCTAATTAAAGGTTTAATGAATGGTTTTGATTTGTTTTAAATTATGAAAACTTGAGATTTTGTTATTTAAAATTTCACTCTTGGTAATTCCTTTATAAGTCAATCCCTAGATTACCTTGAGTTATGATTTTAAAGTAGAAGAATAATGACTTGATGTCATGTTTGCTTACTTATTGTTGATACTCTTTTAGCCTAAAGATTACTTATAATTACTATCATAATATATAATTGTGATTAATATAATTCAATAATTAATTTTAAATTATTTTAATTTATGTACTTGTGTTGTTTTGATTTTAAATTTAATAAATTATATGATTTAAAATTTTAATAAATATTATTATCCACATCTTTCACCAACATTGTTCGATTTATCAAGACGACGGAATGTCTCAATCTCGTTACAGTCTCATTCCAATTTCTAACGAGATGAAATGACTTTTGAAATAAGATAGAACATGAGATAAAAATTTAATCCTATTTTTTTTAAAAAAAAAAAACTGGACGGCTAGACAAAAGTGTTTTGGACCTTTCTCCTCCCTAAACACCCTTAGGTTTGAATTGGAAAACTTGCGAGGGGAGCGTTTATTTTCAAATATAATTTAAATAAATAAACACACAAAAAATGAAGTCAACTGCAGTCACGGTACAAATGAGTCGGCTAAAAAAAAAAAAAACTACAGAACAAATGACAAAGTTAGAGATATTAGGATGCCTTCTGATTAATTTTTTTTAAATCACTCTAAAATCTAAAATATAAAAAAATAGTATATTGGAAAAGTGACAAGTAAATATCTATAAAATAAGGAAATGATAATTTAATTTTGTGAAATGTGATAATCTCCTTTGAGTTCTAAGAGACTTATCTATCAATAAGTTTTAAAGTGAAATGAATTTTTATTTTTATAAAAGAAAAAAAAAAGAAAAAAAAAAGACAGCAATTCCAATCTAATATGAATCGCATTGATCATCAACAGTATCAAGAACAAGCAGCTAACGATGTTCTTGATGGCCACAACCTTATGCATCAATCTCAAAACTTTCATGTTGACATTGGAAAGCCTGTGTTTCACTGCATAACTTTGCTTCTTCTCCATTCACATTCACTCTCAAGCGTTACAACTCTGTGTGTTTGTATCTTTGAATTTATGCATTGAATCAATATCATGAACTTAATTATTAATAATTGAAATCAAGTACAAAAAGATGCTTCGATGCTCCTTTTGAAATTTGAAACTTAGCGCAGATTCAGAGTTTCACCATGATTTATGAACTAGTAATCCTTTTGAACAACCTTCGAGTGATTATTTTCTCATTAATTAAAACTTTAGGAACCGGCTATCACGAGATATCGTATTTTTCGTTGGCTGCTGGAATTATGGCTTCACGTAGGATTGCACAATCTTGAACCGAGTGTTGTTCCACCAATAACTAAAATAATTTAAAAAATCATAACTTTCTATTAATAATTTTCTTCAAGGTCCAACTAATTTTACATTGATGTGTAAGGTTGTGGCCATCAAGAGCAATGTTGGCTGCTTGCTCTTGATACCATCAATGATCAATGCAATCACTGTCTTTCTTCCTTTCTTTCTTTCTTTTTTTTTTATAGAGTTAAAAATGTCATTACATTTTAAAATTTGTTGACAGATAAATCCTTTGAAATTTAAAAGAGATTATTACATTTCACAGGATTAACTTATCAATTTCCTATTTCAAAAGGATTTATTTGTCATTTTCCTAGTCAATTTTTGTTTTAAATTCAACCTTCTCACGTTTCATTATCAGACTTTGGTGCGTCAATTTTTGTGATAAATAATCTGATAATG